TTTACAAATATGCTAGTACACAGTATTTACAAAAAGATAGTTGTTTTACTGTGATATAGCTTCTGGCCACTAGTAGCAGCACTGACCGCTGAGCAGACGCGATTTTGCACTATTGTTAATATAGTTTCTATTCTACAGCAGAGTATCACTGCCACCATGAGGAAAAACATTGTATTCTGTATCTCCTTTGTCAGTTTAACAAATACAAGGAAGTATCTTAGGGGCAGGGAGCTGAGGGGACGATGTAGAGGATGTAGAGAAAAATACAGTTACTGCATTTCCAAGAATGTTCATGTACGTGAGGGATTTGTGAGAGTTGGATTTACCGACCTTGAAGTTTCCACTGCTCAGTGGGACAGTAACGGTACGTTTAAAAACATCTATGGAGGACAAATTCAAATTAAATAATGCTGTTGCGGTCCGTTGTGTTGTCCATTTTCATATTCTGGCTCGAACATGTCAGGTAGGATTTGAGGTATTGTCATTGTTGAAAATGTATCTTATTTGTCAATGTTTTTGTTTTTGTGTTGCGCTTGCTTCCTGACCAGTCGAAAAGTGTTCCCCCATTGAGACGTGTTTCCCCTACATGAAACAGAGTTTTGTAGCGCCCCCCCCCCCTCAGTGGTTGTGGTCAGGATAAAGTTAGGGGAAACACATCTCGATGGGGGAACGTATTTCGACAACACTGGCAACGGGAGTTGGGCGCATTCACAAACTATCCCCACGTTTTCAGGAATATGCTCTCTGGTAATATCGTTCTGAAATAGTTACAGACTATTTGGAGTTATGATGGGTGCAAAGCTAATCCAGATGTACCCAAGAATAAACATTAAATGGCTGAAAATGAGCATGCCATGGGCACTTTAAAGTAAGATCATTTATCATTACATGTAATGAGAATGTTTTCTGGTTATAATGAGATACGGGTCAAATTTTTTCTCATGATGGCAGCACTACACAGTTGTAATACTGAACGTAAAAGAGAACTTTTCTGATCAGGATACATTGTGTTTTTTGTTACCTGCACCTGCCAGACATTCTTTCACCTCATAGATAGTTAATAATATTTAATTTCCTAATAATATTACCATCAATTGGGTTGTTATTTTTCACATCCCATACAAAAAATTTACAAAATTTTGCTCAGTGACTGAAATCCTCGCGTTCTAGGAGGCAGGGTGCAGAAAATTCATATGTAGAAGCTGCATCTTAATTTCACTGTATGAAATAACAGAACACCAGTAGATGAGAGGAAAGAGAAACACATCCAAAAATCTGAAACCATTGGTCATTCTGTAGAAAACAGGCAGCAGACAATGTGATCTGTATGAAACTGTGTAAACAAATACACACAGAGTCCTTTAAGGGAAGTAATGAACATTCCCTACTAACTGATTTAAATTATACATCAAGGGCATTCTTCAGAGAATGGATCAGTTCTGGTGCTGACCTTAGGTGCAGTGAAAATCAGTAATATGAATAATCACCCAGTCCAATACTAAATGCATGTATAACATGTTGTGGTCATAGTTTCCAGTGTGCTATTATGAAATCGTTGATCAAGCAGTAGCATACGACAAATGTATAGAGGACCCTACCTCAAATGTCTTTGGCGCTTAGAAAATTTGATTGCAGACACAGAGCTTCAGTGGTTAAAAGCTGAAAAAAGACAACTTTCAAAAGAGTCCATCAGAAATCTAAATAAGTAAAGATGCCTGTCAAATGGGTTTTTGCCCCATGTTGCATACTGAATAATTTCAGTTCTAGGCTTTGGAGTTCATCCATTTATAGTATTTGACAAAAGTCAACAGTCACAAGACAACAGTGATACCCTCAGTTAAGGGATGAGGATAAGGAAAGAAAAGTGGTGTTTAAAGGTTCCAGGGGTAGAAAGGTGAGAAAATGCAAGTGTACAATGAAGAAAAGTTGAAGTCTGTATTCTGGACAGCACCCAGACAAAATTATACACTGACAGTTACAGGTATTATGTGACAAAGTCATTATCCACCTCACAGAAAGCAATCCAAGTTAAAAGCAAATACAGGAAAAGACAGCATTTAGCCTGAGGTGCAGGTGTGGAACTGAAAAACAAAGGAGGCACATTAAATGAGGCTTTATGTCCAGACAAACGGGCATCAGTCAGAGCAAGTACTTGTTATTAGGCTACACTGTGTACAATAGGTACTGTATAATAGGTTTTGTAAGGCACACACAGACACAGGGAATACGGTGTCATGTGTGCTGATCTGGTAGGATCTCAGATATGATAATAGTCATCAGTTAAAAGTACATAAAAAAAAAATGCTGTCAACTCAAGTCTAATGAGAAGATCAACATCAATGGTGACTCCAGCACAGAGGTAAGGAGGTCTTGGCGACTAGTTTATATCAGTTTTCTGTAGCTACTACTCATAATTAGGGTCTGCACAATGCAGTTCAGACCCTAGTTTGAGCAGCTGAGTCAGAAAAATATGCTGTGTCCTTGTAAATCTGAGGTAAATATGGCAGACATTTCTGTAGCTTCACTATCTGCCGTTTGGCAGAAACACCCACAGAAGTGTCAACAAACCAGTGTCAAAATGAATGCAAAGGCATCAGTGGCAATTATATCTAAATAAAATCTGAAAACACAAGTTCAGTTTAAATAACGTATTTGTATGAACTGCTACAGCAGTGGGTGGGACTAAGACACAATGAAAAGACACAATTGAGGGAAACAATGACCGATAGAAGAGACTTAGAATGTACCCTGTGGATGCCACATAACCTAATGTAGCAATTTCCCCCTGCCTCCAGTCTTTGTGCTAAGCTAAGCTACATACATCTCAGACTTATCTCTGTACAGGACACCAAGATGAAACATATATTAGTCTGCTCATGTGACTCTAGGTAAGATGTAAATGATATTTTTCATTTGCATTTTCTTAAACTTTAAGAGATTTCCTTTAACTTTGACTTAAACCTTACTCCTTAGTTGCGATCTAACCTGGGAGATCTGAAAAAAATGATATTCTGATGTTTATAGTCATTCTGGTTTGGTTGTTGACTCATTGAAGGTTGAATGAAGTGTTTCACATTCCCTGAGTTTGGTACAGTGCTATGAACAAACCTTCATTTAACCTGAATACATTCATTTTGTGTTAATAGACAAACCTCTGCAGATGGCCTCAGAGGCACTAGAGGGTGCTACATTGTTTATGTACCAGTATAACTGAAGTCAGCCATGGGGGTGAGTCAAAATCATCTGAATGCTTCTTGTTCTTATCAGTGTGCGATTATATAAGTTCTGGGTCTGTCCCAATACCCATGCTTGTGTGTAAGCACGAGTTCACAAGCCTACAGGTAGTAGACAAGTGTGACTGATTGAAAAACACAGTGTACTTAGCCCACGCTTGATATGTACTCCTTGTACTAGGCTACTGCTTCAAAACAACTTTCTGAGAAACGTGCACCCCACAGTTCACTGCTGCCTACTGAGCCACAGCAGTCCATTTTTTGGTGATATTGCATCTATAGACTGAGCTTGAAGATGATATTATTAAAAAGACATGATAAAGTTAATGACATGTTGGATTTTGCATTTGCGGCACTTTGGCACTGTGGCAATTACAGGCAATGCACCACATAAGAAGCACTTGACTACTCATAAATCTCACAAGTGTTGGTAATGGGACAGATCCACTACGTCATGTGGTTGCACCTTCTTTGAATCACCTGGTTTGTTGAGTCAAGTCTCTGATTTCACTGTCAGTTTTGTATTCATTCAAGTATTCACAGTATAATTTTTACACTCATTTAAATATTTAAGCACTCAAAACTATCAGTGTCCATCTGTGGTGGCCATCGTTTAGTGAGCTAACAGCAATAGTGAGAGACAGCAGATATAAGTCCAAAAAGGACAACAAATAGGCCAAACAGCAGAAGTATTCAGATCTTATAGCTACGGTGGCACAGAGCATAAAGAGGCTTAGTTCTAAATCACTCATACCCTTCTTCAAAAAGATTATATTTGAAATTGCCCAGTGGAAAAACAACCATCCTACTAATTATTCCACGCTGCTGTATTTGGATCTGGAACATCAACTAATTGGTGATATATTGGAGGTATTCAGCTGATGAAGATACCTTTTTTTAATTGACCAAGCAGGTTCAAATAAAACATGAGGAGAAAACAACTCAGAATAATTGAGACACACCCCAGAGCTCACTCCAAGTCAACCCGCTTCCTTGTATAATGACTAGACTATGGGATCAGTTGATTCTACACTGCTCATATGCCATGATTGAGTGCTTTGCACCTCCCTTCCTCCTTCTTATAAGATTTCTCTATCACAGCCCTCTTTGCAGTCTGCACCTTTATCGGATCCATTTTTTAAAGGGGAAGGAAGTCTGCAGTCTAAGAGCATCTAAACCTGAAGATGCATAGCTGAATGCTAAGCTATATAAGAACAAATCACTGGGTGGTGCTAGAGCTGAACTAAAACTGTTAAAGGTTGAGCTGAGGATGGCAACAATACCAGACAAGACATAAAAGATAGTCACTGGGGCGCTCTACAGCCCCATTTCCACCAGAGGAACTTTCCCCAGGGAACAGGAACCTTTTGTGGAACTTAGTTCTACTTGTGTTTCCACCGGAGGAAACGGGGTCTAAATTTTGTTCTGAGGTGCAGTTCCATCCCTCAGAAAATACCTAATTGAGGGGTAGTACTTTCTAACGGTCCAAGTATGTGGCAAACACTGCACTGCCAAAAGTCGTTAATTGTTCAAATACCATGTAGCATTTTACACCTGACATTTATTAACACCCTGCTACTGACCTTCACGCTTTAGATAATAAAATGTTTAATCTTCCTGAGGCTTCAGCCTCACTGTGGAAATCAAATCACAATGTGCTCAGAAGATTTGTACCTCAGGGAACACTCTTGGTCAATGGTTCCTGGGAACAAAAAGTACCAGGAGCTTTCCGGTTGAAGCACGCCATAAGGGCTTCCTTTTAGAGCCCATGATGACAAAATATCCAGCGTCTCTCAGTGACTAGTCTGTCAACTCCTCATCCACAGCTCTCTCATCCTACAAGCTGTGTGTGTCTGTTGTGAGATCAGAGAGTGAAATCAAAGTTGGAACACTAAAGTCAGTAGGGTCAGTATGCTTCAAACAAAGCTTTTGCAAGAAAACTGAACAATGACACCCTCTCCTCAGGCTCTTCTATGTTTGGAAATGGGGGAGCCGCATCTGATGATTTGTATGATTCTTCAATACAACAACCCAGCAAACATGCTAACTTGGCAGCAGGGGGTGGCTGGGTGTGCATCAGTAAAACACATTGCAGGCTCCTTGTTTTTTTTCACAGAACTACTACTGTCACCAAGTGCAATACATGAATGATTTTTGTCCAAATGTGTGGGTTGCTAGCTCCAGCTGTACCATTGACGTTTGGTTTGAACCATACTGAACCCTTCAGCATCCATGTACCTCATCACCAAAGGAGAATGCTTGTACTGAAAGACATCTGATTTACTGTATGTGTGTATACAGCATATGAGAGTCACTACTATTTAAAACAGGGTGGATATTACAGTGAATACAGAGGATGGTATTTAAAATGTCATGGCCCTCATTCTGACCAGTGAAAGTGTCCATCAAGTGTCCAGTCAATGTCTGGATATCTCTGCCTCTTTTATTCACTTCATGCATGTGTAGTCTCAACCTGAAGAACCTAAATGCTAAAATCTCTCATTAAAAAGTCTCTCTTAATGCCCTCCTGTGGATCAATCAACAGTCACAGAATCAAAGGAAGGTGGGGCTGCTTGTGCTCCTTATGTCAAATCCCTGAGCAAAGTCATTGAACATTCAGAACCCACTGGCCAAGGCTTAGGCACAGGAAAACAGGAGCTGGGAAGCAGGAAACCACTCTGTTCTCCTCTCTGTGAGCCCCCACTCTCAGGTGACAAAAAAGAGTTTCAGTTATTGTTTCAAAAAGAAGCCTGGTAGAAAAGCCTGACAAAGGCTTACAGTACAGGATTTACAGTGGGGGGTCAGTGGCGGGGTCGATAAGAACTGGAATATCTGGGGTAGAGGGGCGTGTAGTGGGTTGAGTGGCTGTAAGAGGTGGCGGTGCCAGAGGTGAGGTATGAGCTAGAGGTGGGAAGTGAAGTAGAGGAGCTGTAGTAGGCAGATGAATAATTGTGGGAGAAGGAAGGGGAATAAGGGTAGGATGAGGAAGGAGTGTAAAGGACAGAAGAACGTGTCAGGCTAGAGAAGGGCCGAGTTCTGGGTGTGGGGCTCCATGTGGAGCGCCTACGACCCAGGATCGGGGATCGATAGGGAGAAGAGGGAGCAGATCCTGGCTGTGTGGGCCTAGTGGTGGTGGTGGTGGTGGTGGATAGGGTTGAGGTGCATGTATCAGAGGCGTATTGTCTGGAGAGGCCTGAGTTACAGGGCAGAGCAGGGGAGATGTTGACATTGAAACCATGTGAGTCAACCATAAATGTCTGTACTCCCGGGGTCCAGTGGGAGTGAGCTAGTCTCAGAGGGGTTGAGGGCAGTGTCCGTAGCGAGGGAGAGGAGGGGGCCTCCAGAGATGGGGGGCTTTCTGGCACTGGAGGGCCAGCTAATGATGCGACCATTGGTGATGATGGACTGCAAGGGGGTATGTGTGAGGTAGGGGAGGTGAGAGCTGAAACCATAGCTGCAGCTGCAGCACTGCCCATTGACGGGCTAAGGGGTACAGTGGGGTCATCAGGAAGAACTGGCATAGGACTAATAAGGCCAGAAGAGGGGAGGTTGCCAGGAGCCAAAGCTGAGCTAGAACTTTGGGATAGGTTGGAGACCGAAGCCGAGACCGGGGAACTTACTTTGGGCGTGCTGGTCTTCCCACGGATCAGCCTGCTCCTACGGGTGCAGTGGGTCTGCTCTTGATCAAAGGCCAAATCTTCCAGACGCTGGGTGAGGGCCAGTTTCTGCTGGATGGCCATCCGCAGAAGGGAGTTCAGAGTCTTCTTCTCATCCTCAGCTGCAGCCAGCTGCCTTTGCATCTCATCCAACTGGGTCACATACTCATCACACCTGGCAAGAGCAAGGTTGCAGCATGGATAAGAAAAAAATGAAAGAGGAATGGAAAGAAGCAAGTTAGAAATAGTTTCTGGTCGGCGGTTCAGAAGTGTGAAATACAGGACCTCTAGACTGAAAAACTCTTTCTTTCCGACTGCCATCAGACTCCTAAACAGCTGACTCAGGATCTACCTCATGTAATTCCATCTGTGCTGTTTACATACTCATTTTACACATGCATAATTGCACACTCACTGCTGAGTATTTGCATCCCATGGCTCCCACGTAGCATATATTCTCTCTGCATTACATTGTGTTCTGGTTGTATTTTATTTGCTTCCTTCACTTGCTGCTTTAAAGTGCCTTCGATTTGTTTTACTGCCTATTTAGATTTGTGTTATTGCTCATCTACTTTATATTTCACTTGTATTTTGTGGCATTCATGTGGACAGCAAAGTAAGAATTTCGTTGTACAGGGAAACACGTTTCCTAACTGTGCATATGACAAAATAAACACTTTGAACCTTGGATCCCCAATGAGATGTAAATGAAGGTCAATATACCATAACATAGTAAATATTAGTACAGGGAAACACGTTTCCTAACTGTGCATATGACAGATAAACCCTTTGACCTTGACCTTGCAGAGAGCTCGATGTCTGCATGGTAAATATGAAGTTACCACCAGCCACTGTCTGGCATAGTTTAGCACAAAGACTGGAAAAGGAGGAAACAACTAACAAGCTGCATATCTGCTCTTTGCTTGGGTGAGGATAGGGCTCAGGGATGCTTTGTGTTAAGGGTAGGTTAGGTCTGAAAAATGGTGTTGCTTGTTGTGGGGCTCTGAAGATTCATGACTCCATGGCCTGACATGATGTTTGCCCAGTATTTGGAGCCAAATAATGAGTAAACATCATTTAATTCATATGGTGAGCTTCCCTAGAAATGCTCTCTCATTCTTTGGCACATTTAATTGTGTATTATTGACTGTAAGAAAATACTGAGTAGTGGAGCTTTATTTCTTGTGTCTGGTCAAGTCTCTGACCTGGTAGCAAACATAGCTCGCAGAGAAGAAAAAGTGGCAGCATCCTCCTTCAGGGCCTTCAGCTCATTCCTCAGCTTCATCATGGTGTCAGTCACCATGTACTTCTCTGCCTCATACTTACTCTTCAGGTTGGCTAGAGCCACCTCTGCTGTCTGGGTGAACACACACATATACAGTACACATAATAGAAATTTTCAGTTTTTTTAATTCACTTTTCTCCCCATCAGGTTGTATTTCCCACCATCACTTTAGCAATATGAGGACAGCAGTGTCCAAATATGATACAATACAATATGACATAGTAGTAGCATCTGCACTAAATCTCTGCTGTGCATGTCTGAGGGAGAAACTTTATAAAACAAGCAATATGAACTATAGCAGTGGGGGAAAGCCAAGTGAGTCCTTCAGTCAACCTTACTGGCTGATGTCTTTCAGGCAAGTGTGACCAGTCAACAGTTGCACTATAAACATTTTCAACTTTTACCTATATTTTACCTTTATTCAGGGCAGTTTCACTGAGTGCAGCTACACATTTACAGCATCACCCTGATCACATTCATACAGTTACACAGATTCAACCACAGTGTGACCTGCTGGCCACTGAGCAGCTCCCCTGGAGCAGCTGGGGTTACAGTGGAGTTGAATATGGAGGGACTATGCTTTCTCACTTGTTCCACTCTGATTTAAAGCTTCCAGTCCAGGGATTGAACCAAGATCACTTTTCTAACCTTTAGACCTAAACTGCCAGCTTGGTTCAACTTATGGCATTGCACTGGTGGCTGATTTTGACTTAGGAATATTTTGTTGATTTCTTTTGTGTGTCTGGTGGTAAAATAAAATGAGCATGATGCTATTACCTGGATAAGGACATAATGGACAGTGAGTTTAAACTGTACAAACTAATTAATTCCATGGTCAGAGCAAGCCTTTTCCAATTAAGGCTTCTGTCAAGGGTCAAACCTTGTCTTCCCAGAAATGATCTTGAGAGGGCTATTCATGTTTTCATTTCAAGCCACTTTGACTACTGCATTGCCCTAAATACTGGTGTCTGTCAATCTTCGCTGAATCAGCTTCAACTCATTCAAAATTATGCAGCACATTTTCTGACTGGCACCTGTAAAAGAAAGCATATCTCTCCTGCCCTGTCCTCTCTCCACTGGTTACCTGTTCACTTCAGGATCCAGTTTAAAATCCTACTAATGGCTTTTAAAGCACTAAATGGTTTAGCCCCTCCATATCTTTCAGAACTTTTCAAAACCTATATATTATTGGCCAACTGATGTTGTTTTTAAATGTGCTGTATAAATAAACTGACACTGACATAGCAGCTCGCATCTGTCACCTGTTTGTTAGCCTTGAGCACTAGTCTGAGGGTGGCTATCTGCTCTCTCTTGGTGCTGAGCAGAGACTTGAGTTTCAGGATCTCCTCCATGCAGCTCTCCTTGTCCTTGTCCAGCAGAGGGGCCAGTTCCCTGGCTGCAGCTCTCTGTCTGGACAGCTGCAGAGACCTATCTACTGCCCGCTGGAGGTGCTTCACCTGGGGGCATGAGAGGAGAAGTGGAGGGGAGACAAGGTCTGAAGGAGGTGAAATAAGAAGATGCAAAGTGGTGTACTTCATTTTGAGGTACTTCAGAGGAAAAAACCAAGGAGACAGGAAGTTAGAGGGATTGAGAGTGAAGTAGAGAGATGAATGAATTCGGCCAAAAGGAGAGATACAGTATATTCTGCAGGGTAATAGGAGAGAGAACAGATGAACAGGAAGGGAGGAGCAGAATGATTATACACAGCTGAAAATGCAAGATAAGAAAGTAAAACCAGATCCTAGTTTCCTAGAGGTGTCACATCCTAGGGAAGAGATCAAGAGAGGGAGCTCAGAGAGAGAGGAAAGGTAGAAACTAACCAGGAGAGAAGGACAAAAGAGAGGAGTTGGAGAGAGAAGGAATGAGCTCTGTGTTCTACCTGGTCTCTGATGATGGCATTGAGGTTGTGGATGTTCATGGGCTCCCTGCGCAGCTCACCGGCTGGCTCCAGGGCAGGTGATGAAGATGATGACGATGATGAAGAGGCACTGATGCTGGGTGAGCGAGTTGGAGGTGTGCAGGGTGGCAGGCTCTGCTCAGGTGGCACCTGCAGGCCCCCCCTCTCCCCCTCCTTTTCCCCCCCCCCACTCTCCCTAGAGAGGGGCTCTTTGGATGGAGACTCTGAGGGGCTCTGCAACTCCCCAGGAGTTGAGGTTATTGAAGCAACAGCAGCGAGGCGCCTGGCAAGGCGTGGTGTGAGGAGAACTTTGCTGTTGTCTGAAGACATGGCTTTGAGACTTGCACTGAGCCCCCTTAGCCCTCTGCCTTGTCTAGAAAAAGAAACAAATTGAATATGATTTAATTTTTTACCTTTAGATCCTTTAATATGGTGCTGTACAGAAGACGATTAGGGCCAGTAATTTGAGTTCTGACTTTTTCTCAAAATTCTGGCTATTTTTTTTTTTTTAAAGCAGAATTTTGAGATTAAAGTCAGACCTCTTTTTTTTTTTTTTTTTTTTTTTTTTTTTACAGTGGCCCTAATTCTCTTCTGTAGTGATGGTTGACTTTACCATATACCCACTAACGCTGAGTTGGAGCCTACATCTTCCTGTTGAAATTAGGCTGGAGCCAATCCCAGCTGACACTGGGTGAGAGGTGGGGTACAGGTCGCCAGTCTATCACAGGGCTGACATGTAAACAAACAACCACACCCACACTCACTCCTACCGGTAATTCAGAGTCTCCAGTCAACCTAAGCTGCATGTCTTTGGACTGGGGGAGGAAGCTGGAGTACCCAGAGAGAACCCACGCAAGCACAGGGAGAACATGCAAACTCCGCACTGAAAGACCCCAGGCTCAAACCCGGAACCTTCTTGCCGTGAGGCGACAGTACTGTTCACTGGGCACCATGGTGCCCCTCTGAAATAAGAGTCCACTTGAAATAATAAAGCACTATATCTTTAAACTGTTTCTGCAAATTTCTCTGTTGCACTTGCCCCACCTTTGTTCACACCTCAGTGTGAGCAAGGCCCTTAAATCCAGCCACTCAAGTGGAACTGCTCAGTGGCTATAGGTCAGTCTGTGGTTGTACTGGGCTTCTTCCAGGTGTGAATATGGACAGGGCATCCCTGAAAAAGAGAGGTGGCCGCTCAAAGAAGGTTTAAAAAAAAGCCGAACAAATAGAGCTTCCTGGCCGGAATGTATTACAAAAGATAATAACAAATAAATTGGATAGTTTGGACTGTGATACACTGGCGACCTGTCCAGGGTGGACCCTGACTCTTTC